TAACAATAGTAGCTGTATCTCAGTATACAACATACAAAATATGCAAAAAGCTTTCAAAAATATATGAAAATTGATAACATTTTAATTTCATAAATTAATAAGCCTTTTTGTGAATCTTTCAATGGATATGCCCTTTTTGTTAAGCCGTTGTGTTTGTCATCAGATATGGTACGCCCTTTGCTAAGCCTTTTCGCAACGTCAAATAAATTCAAAACAAATCATCGGCCCTGCCTCAAGCAGTATGGCCTAGCTTTGGTTTGAAAAGTTTCAATCATCGGCCCTTCTACGTCACTAGGCTTATCAATGAAATGAAATAAATGAATGATCGGCCGTTTTAGCGTGCGGGCCTATTAAAGAATCGAAAAATTTCGTTGATCGGCCGTTTCGAAAATCGAGTTATTTTTAATGATTTTTCTTGATTATGCGGAACTTTCCTACACGATTAGAAGCTATCAAGCGGTGTTAAAGAATGGTATCAAAACCCGATTTGTTTACGTTTTGGACATAGGCCCATTTCAAATGTTACCCGAGAAATGGCCTTATGTGCGAAAATTTGTACGTGCCAACCCTGACCTCTGTAGTAACAAACTATGTTTTTAAACACTCATTCTTTCGGAAAACTTCCTTTTAGGGGTCTGTTCTTCTTCGGCTAGGAAAAATAATGCTCAACCTTCTGCAGCTTTTTGTAGAGCTAGAAAGAAATGACCATCATTAATAGAAGGAAACGTTTCCGGAATTTATCTAATTTTGATTCAATTAATGTTAAGAAAAGAACTAGAAGCTTTTAAGGACACGATTGACGGAATGCTTTTTTCATATACTTTGTTTTATGACTTCGCATTTTTTCGGGTCCACATCTGGCGATCTAATAAAAATGTATCTAAGTGTTGGATGCGGAATGTTACACCAGTGGTTGACGTCACCGATTTCAACTAAACTTTACGATAATGCTTGTTTTGATACGCTGAGAAAAAGTCTTTTTTGGATTTTGCCTTGAAATTCGTAATTCCCTATGAGCCCCTATGATCTACGGGAAGTTTAATATATGTATCAGTGATTAATGGATTACAAAGATAATGTTCATCTGAAATGCTTCATCAACAGGCAACATTGGTGTGCATGGCTCGAAGAATAGGGTAACAAACCCAGGCTACTATGTCATAAGAGCAACATGCAGTGTTGCCGAAAAAACAGTTGAATAATGATATCAGAAAGTTATCGGCTTCGAAATCAATTAATAACTAATTACCTTAAAGTCTCATAAAAAGTAGTATTTAGTAATGTTGTAGCTGATAAAATTTCCCCTTACGAAAAGATAGCAAGCTTACCGTAAATCATTATGACGACGAAACAGGACGATAAGAACAACAAATTCCCTTTTCCCATAGTAATTCTCAAATAGCCAGTGCAGTATTAGTTTGCATCCAATTAATGCCAACTCTTGAGAGAATGCTCAAGACTTGATTTGGAGTCGATTGAGCTTGGTGGAGCAATAACGATATTTTGAATCACTGTAATAAGTATATTCATTTCGGATGAAGCTGCTGCATTATGTTTTTGAAACTATTTTTTCGAAGATCATGGGCTTCATAACGGGAAGTGGAATCGAAGCGGTTTTTGTATGAACATAATGTGGCCCCAGTTTTGTGTGTATACATTCTTTATTTCTCTTGGTCTCAGAATAAAAAAATCTCTCGTTTTTAAGATCCAATTCTGTGTAAGTCACAAATCTCTTCATTAATCATGACTGTGTTAAGGATTTTTGGTATTCCGCAATGCACTTTAAAAAGTCGCATGAATTATGTTAAAACTTTATTACGATCTTATTAAATTTTAAAAAATGACCATGTCAGCGAGTAGGGTCTCCCTTACCTCAGTCGGTAGAGGCACAGCCACAAAGCAAGATCATGCAGGAGGTGGCTGCGTTCGATTTCCGGTCCGGTCTAGGAATTTTTCGGGTTCGAAAATGTCTCGACTTCCCTGAGCATAGGGTACAATCGTACTTGCCACACAATTATACTGCTGCAAAAATGGTACCTGTATCGAAAGCTCTCAATTAACAACTGTGAAAGTGCATCTAGAACACTAAGTTGAGAACACGCAATAAGGTAATATGCAATAAGCAATAAGCTTGAAATGCGAAGAAGAATAATGACAAGAATAAGAATAAGAATACTGCGGATAAGAAGAAGAATAAGAAAAAGGAGAACAAGAACAAGAAGAAGAAGTAGAAGAAGAAGTCATTGAATAATACAATTCTCAATTAGGAAGGAGTTGATAAACTCCAGCAATGCTGCCAACACCAAAGTTCAAATGATTATAATGCATTTTAGCACTCATTACTGAAAGTTTCACTTCTACATCCAGTGCCGAAAAATTCTACTTATCGAAACTCTTTTAAGTGCAAAACAGCTATTTATGCAACAAGATGCAAAAAGAAGATTATTTCAAAACGAGTCCAACGAGTTTTGAAAATATCGTATTTTGCAACGAGGTGCATACAACATTTTTTGCACTTAAAGCGTGTCGAAAAGTGGAACTTTTCGGCACTGGATCTGAAAAGACTAGATAGAGCTAGAATTAGGGCGTAACAGCTTTTGTAAACAATGACTTCTTTCGATGATTTCTAGGAATTCAAGGCACGACCACTCAATCCAACATAACCATCGGGTAGGAGAAGTCTTCCCTTGTCCGATGATGATGTTGATTTGTGTGGGCGAGCCTTGACTTTTTAGAAATCATCGAGAAAAGCCATTGTTTACAAAAGCTGTTACGCCCTAATTCCAGCTCTATCTAGAAGTAGTACTTTTTGACACTGTTATTTTAGGCCATTATGTTATTCAAAACAGTGTCGAAAAGTGACACTTTTCAGTAATGAGTGCTTAAAATTCTATTTTTTCATCACTCGTCGTAATTATCCAACTTGGCAGCCTCGTTGGATAAACTACGCGACTCGTGTTTAAAAAACCATCTTTTTGCAACTTGTTGCATAAATAGCTATTTTTTTAATAATGAGAGAGAGAAGGATTAGTATTTTCCATTTAATTCCACTACTTTATTTGCTTATCCTTGACAGATACGCGTATTTCGTCTACAATGTGCAGACTTCTTCAGTGTCTTGTACTAATACTCGACTCAGTACAAGACACTGAAGAAGTCTGCACATTGTAGACGAAATACGCGTATCTGTCAAGGATAAGCAAATAAAGTAGTGGAATTAAATGGAAAATACTAATCCTTCTCTCTCTCATTATACAGGTATTCCACTAAGACGCCCACATTCATCAGGAGCTATTTCTTTTTAGTTCGGATTGCACTCATAATGACCATTCGTCAAGTTTCGCAGAAAATGTCCCAAAATTACACAATCCACTAGCATACGAGGTCAATAAATTTCAGACCCCTTTCTCACTGGAAAAGAAAACCTGTTCCTTTCATAAAGCTGCGAATGCAGGCCATTTCGTTCACTTGTGCTTGAAAGGTGCATTATTACGCCCTCCTTAGTGGGAAAGCATTTCGCTCTCCGAACCAGAACTGGACGGTCCAACGATCGACCTGCCCATACGTGAGGGGACAGAACAAAGAAGCATAAGTAAAAAAAAACAGCTCCGCTAAATGTCGGTCAACCCGACGGGACTTCAAATTATGACTTAAATTGGTTTTGTGTTCGGTTGGTGTGGTGTGGGATCAAGTGCATTCGACTCTCTGGGTAGCTCGTTTATTAGTAGGGGAACTATGGGTAAGACGGACAGTATAATGTTAGGTGGCCGAACTATTGAGTTATTTATGTTGTTGTCATACCCATTCTTAATTCAAGACGTTTAATACATTTCAAAACATACTGCTTTGCAGGAAAGGTGTCAAATGGAATAATATAGACACAACTAAAAATAAATTCCTCATATGGCGAAGCGATGAAAATTTTAAGCAAAATCTATAGAAGTTTCATTCAGTCTATTAGTATACTCCTAGACTGAGTAAAATTTTCATTGATTTTTTTCATATTGGAAAAGTTTTTCCTGGTTTTCCACGGCCTTTGCACGGAAAATTCAATAAATCCACTTTTGCTGAAATTGAGACGACTCGATTTAATTTTGTGTGAAATACTATACACACCAAATTGTTTACAATCCTGTTTCTGGTTCACTTCTAGATTGTTTGTTGAAAAACAGAAAGTAAATTATGTTTATTTGTATGTATGTACAGACGTTTTCGTAAATATTTGACCAGTGGGGTAACACGGACAGCTGGCTCATATAAGAACTTGGCTACTTTACCGGCACCCGGCACATGTGCGAGTGGATGCTCAATATGGCCACTATTGATCTCGTTTTGGAATGCTCCTGTGACTTCATGTGCCGCATGATGAGTTGTGGCACGTCAGTTATGACCACTCCCAGGTACCAGGGACATGCTTTGGAGCGGTCATTGAGGTCCTGAGTACCGCCACAACATGACCGACAACAATCACATTATAAGATCGTTTGTTTTCATAACATAGAAATATTTAAATTTCAAGACTTTTTTAGGTGCAACAGATTGCAGGTTTTTCGATTGTTTTTGAGTTAAGTACGTAGTTTCGTTAAGTATGTGATTAACCTTTTGAGTGCAAATATTGCAAGCAAAATTCTGGATTTATCGGCACGATAATAACAATAATAACAATCCATAGGGTGTCCGTAGTACCCCCACTTCCCCTTCGTCTCACATTCATTCATTCGCTTGGCAGATCGAATCGAATGAGCAAAATGAGCAGAGTCTGTTTCCGTATGTTTGGTCGCTATGGCTGCGCTGCATGCATGGAATTTTTGTTGAGCCCTGGATTGGTTTGATTAGGGTTGACCTTTTTCCACGATCATTTGACTTCATGATTCAGAGCTATGACGTCAGCTTTGAGATGCTTTTAAGTATAGGCAAAGTTTAGATGACCAGCTAGAAAGACCTTCAATTTCCAGTTTCGACAGTTGCCGCGACTGCTTATTGAAAAAAAACCTCACACCATGGAGCATCAACATAAGATGACCAAGAGTGTGCTGCAGGTTCATAACAGCAATCTTTCACAGTTAAGTAAGACCGCATAACACACCACGAAAGAGTAAATTTTAGTACGGTTCGTTTTTGGTACTGACAGTTTTCGCTTCAATTTTCAAATATTTGATCGATTCGGTGAACTTAGCAAAGCAAATCAGACAAATGAATGATATGATGTTGAATTGTATTTCAGTCGGTTATATGGCACATTGTTGAATCCGCGGACCTAGTAGCCTCGTATGTAATACTTTAAGATGAATTCCTGTGATCTATGGTAGACGTCAAATTGATCTCTAAGTGTGAGAATATTAATACCTCTGAATCGGACAAAATCATCAAGTTCCTTTCAATACTCGAGTCATGAACAGACACCAACGAAACCTGTTGGGAGATGCAAGTTCGTCGTGTAGATCGAAAAAATAATAATGAGGTGAACAAGATTTTTAAAAGGCAAAAAGAACTTCGAGGAAAAGGAAAAGAGTGACGATGGACGGAGCAGAAAAACCGCTCCGAAAAGTCACACTGCACTACCTTATCACAGCTTATACACTTCGAACGTTAAATCATTTTTTGGTCACCAGGTTTTTCCCATACCAGTGTGATTTTTTTGCGCTATTGAAACTTCCTGAAATGAAACACTATATTTATTATATTTATTATATCACCATCCAAGGCGGTGGTAAAGGCAATGAAGTGTGAACGACGACGGCGACGAGACGAGAGATTAGATTGAAGTTTGGTTAAACCTAGCGCGGCGAGGAAACGGCTCACGTTGAGCCTCCTACCGACACCGAGCATCAGCACAGATCCGGTGGTGAAAGAAAAGGTAAAAACCGCATAAAATCGATCATTGGTCGAACGCGCCGCAAGAAGTCGCTTCCACCGGAAGTACGACATCAAAGATAATGGCTGATGCTTTCTTGTGGCTCATACTACCTAACTGTGCGTTTGTGTGTGGTAAAGTGCCAAGAGACTCTTGCTGTCACCCCATTGTATTGTGTCACGTTGCGGTATGACTTTTATGTTTGTCCATGAGCAGGAACTACTTTGGGGAAAAATACAATAGGGAACACTTTTGTGAAGAAGATTTATAGCAACAGTTCCCATTAGGTTGAAAAATTGATTCTCATCAAAAATTTTGTTGATTACAAGTTAGAAGCATTTATAGTCTGAAGAGAGCTTTGTGTGAAATTAGTTAAGTGAACAAAGAAAAAAATAAACAAATACGTATATATAAATTGCACTTTCTGATGTAAATATTATTTTCATTCTATGTCCGACATACTCAAATAGGACGAAGTGGGGGGAGGGGGAGAAGGGGCTTAAATAACTAGAAAAGAAACAAAAAATAAAGAATTTAAATAATTCATTAATAATAAAAATAATAGAAGAAAAAACAATTTGTATAGTTTTAGGCGAATGACAATTTTGAACAGGGCTATTTTTTGTTCTTTTGAGATTTTTGAATGGGGAGGGGGGGGGGGGGGCGGTTGACATAAAATAAAAATTGAATATGCATCTAGTTTATTAATTTTTGTTTGTTTTAAATATTGTATGCCGCTTGTTGCTACAGGGTATAGAAGAAGAGATTTAGGATTGATTTTAATGGGTTACTAGGCCAAATGGGTCATTAGGCCGAAATTATGATAGTTGTTCACTTTTCATGATTCGGCATCTAAATTGTTCCAGATTAACGTGTAATTTCAAACTTCTAAACACTTTGACCATTTCTAAACCTGGATATGCCCTTTACTGGAGTAAAATCTTTTCTGGATATGTTGGAAATCACGCATGTGAATTGTTGTTTCGGATATGCTGCTCTAATAAAAACAAGAAAATTATTCTCAAATCTCATGTGACAAACATTGGACAATTTCGAGAAGTTTGTTTTATTTTTCTGCATTTTAGGCCACAATTCCGGAAACTTTAAAAAGTTATTTACTACGACCAACTATGCTCTAAATCAGTGCTGAGTTGCATCACGGTACTGACAGCCTTTAGATTGACAAAAGAGATTCCTAAGGTTAATAATCAAAACAACTGGGAACCCTCTCTCCGTAAAACTTCTCACCAGTATGATGCAAAAAACGTGAGATATCGTTTTTTGGTTTTCTCACTCATTCGCAATATCACTAACATCTATCATGTGGTACCATCATATCATCGAGGAAAAATAAAAAAAACATATAAATTGACCGTCATCTCATTTCGAGCATAAATGACGGTCATTCCTCTTCCAAAATCACGAATAAGGCGATAGTTGGGATGTATAAAGGAAAAAGTCTTACCAGAAATTATTATTGTAAAAATTCATATCTGCATTAACACATACTACCTGAAGTCAAGAATGCTTATTCATGGATAGAGATTTTGCACCTATTTATTTTTCCGGATACCGTGACGCTTGAGCTCGAATAATAAGGATGCTGACTGCATATCGTATCCACATTACCGAAGCCCAAGTATCAAGGGATCCGTAAAAACAATCCTTACGTAAATAGGAATTCCCTTCTTAATATGAATTGTAGCTAGAGGTGTTATTGCTGAGTAATCAAACGTTGAACTTGTTCTAGTCATTGTATATCTTTAGGTTAAACACAATACAATATTTGCTTGGTTTACCACAGTTCAGAATTATTAGTTAGTTAGCAGTTTTCCGGAATTTTTCCACTCGCCCTCTCCCAATGTAAATGACTTTGTAAAATCATAACAATTGCTCTTTCACTCTTATTAATATCCTGCAGCATTCTGCATTTGATTTCTTCATCATTAAATAAGATATGCCCCTCTCTAGTAAAGATATTGGTAGAAAATTGCAAGCACCCCATCCCCAACAATTGAAAAAGCCTCAACTCCATTTTGTAAACAAAACTTGTAAGGCAATTTTCTCGCGAAACGAAACCTACATTCACAAACCTAAATCACAAGGAGAAGGAGAATTTTCCGTACCTGTTAATTTTGTTCGTTTGCGTTGGCGGACTTCGGTTCGCGACAAAATTGCTTTGCAAGATTTGTTTACAAAATGGAGTTGAGGCCTTTGCAATTGTTGGTCTAGAATTACTGGACGGTGCATTATCAATACACGTTTTCTTCACTTGAGGTTTCAACAATCAAAGCAACCATTGGTGTCGCGGCCAAAAGCTACTTTCTTCTCCAGTTAGGGAGAATCTTTCGCTTACTAGGTCAGACACTGGTTTTTCGATTCTAGGAGCTACTTTTTTCTCCTGTTAAGGAGAGATGTTTTCGCTTCTAGGCCGAAAGCTCTTTCGGATTCAAAAAATGAAGAATCTGAAGTAACCTACGAACTTAGTTTTATTTTTCCATTCTGTACAAGGTGATCTTAAATGTATGTGTTACATTAGCGATCTATAATTATGTAAAATCATTTGCTGTCACTATGGAATTTTCCATGTCCCTATCAAAAGCGAACTTTAAGCAAATTTCTGCTAGTTATAATTGAATTTCTACGCGGGCTTAAAAGGGCTAATCTATGTATTCGAGTCCTCAAATACTATGTCCTTTTTGGAACCAGGATTTCCCAATATGCTCGTGAATTTATTATTTTTTGTAACTCAGATCCGATATGGCTCTACAAATAAGAATTCGAACATTTGTAACGTTTAACATTAGATTATTATCCTTCGTGAAGGATGAACAAAGAGGGAAAACTAATCTTAATCTACATGCGCAGATATGTCGCGTGTGGGCGTGTTTATCCTACTCGAGCGCATATGCATCCTAAGTAAATAGTGCAGTCGGATTATGTAAGCGAGCTGTCGTTGTTTGGCCCTACTTTTCATTTCTTTTCCTTGGCCTTGGTATCGACATCAGCTAAGACTCATGTAACTATGCGGTTTGGCTTATAGACTTGATCCTAAATTAATTGCCTCGCGGTAACAATTGGTATTAATCAACAAAGGAATCTTCAAATCGTTACTTTGAATTCCGTAAGGAAACTCAGTGTATTTCAATAAATCATCGCTAAAGTTAATAGCGAATCTGGATCGGGTATCAAGATTGGATCTGCTTATTTTCTGACAAAGGCCAGTTTGTTCGTTTGCTTTTAAAACTCAGCTCAGGTTGAGGTTCGCACTGAAAAATAGTTCGGTTTCGCACTGATTTTGTCGAAGGTCCAGCTGTTGGTTCCATGATGGTCCTTGCAATTTTTCGGAGCAATTAAAAAATCTAAGATTTTTCGTTTCACTTTTCGCACGAAACGTAACCATGTTGAAAAGTTATTTGTTTTGAAATTATTTAATTCTCGTGAGCTTGTCAATTATGAGTTGTGTCAGTTTTGAGATTTATTAAGCATCGTACGCAATGACGCATACGTAAGAGAGAATTGATATTGTCGATGGAACATAAAAAAAGTGATAGTGGCAAGTTAAGAAATGGCATTTTTGAAGATAAACGGATATTTTTCTACATTGTAACGTAACAGCACCCACATATTTATTTGTTACAAGGAAAATGAAAAACCAACGTTTTCTTCAAAATTTTCCGTATGTTCTGAACTTAACAACTTTTAGCAAGAACAGGAAAATGAGGGAGCACTATTCTCACTTCCCACTTATAAATGTTCAACAGAGATGATCAGTGAGTGAATGATTTGGCTACTCTCTCCTTGTCATTTAATCTAACTGTCATGGATGGCTTTGATGAAGACGGTCTAGGAAGGTAAAGGTGTTTCCAAGTGATATGCTAGTTGACCGTCATTTTTTATATGTGACGGTTATATGAGGATGACCGTCAAGGTACAATAACCGTTATGATAATGAACAGCACTGCGTCTAAATGTTTCGTTAAGTTCATGATAGCCCATTATTGTGTATCGTCCATAGTTATTGTGTTGTGAAGTGGATGTAATATTGAATTGACAAAAAGAAATGACTGGAATTAAAAAACAAATCAACTACTCCAGTATCAAGTCGTTCATGCAAAAGTTCGTTTCAAAATGCGTGTTAAAAAAACTTATGTAAAACATATGGGGCATCTTTCCCTTCTATTATTCAACGCACTAGCAATTCATCGAATCT